CCTCCTCCTCCTCCTCCTCCTCCTCCTCCTCCTCCTCCTCCTCCTCCACACATACCCTCCTCCCTTGTAGCACTGATGATGTTCCCTAGTTGTGTCATGAACCATCTGTGAGGCCCCAGGACACTAGGGTTCTCCTCCTTCTCCTTCTTTTTCCTCCTCCTCCTCCTCCTCCTCCTCCTCCTCCTCTCCCTCCAAATCCTGCTATTTGATGTCTCCTTTCAGCATCCACCAGCTCAGAAGCAAGGTATCTGAGGAACATGAAGTTCTCAAGAAGAAGGAGCTGGAGATGGCACCCAAAGCTTCCTATGGCTACGGGGGCAAGTTTGGAACCGAGAAGGACCGCATGGACAAGGTACAAACTTGATGTGGGGCTCTGTTCTTTTTTTCTCCCCCTTCCTTTTTGGACCTTCTCATCTGATCCCTCCTTGGTCTTTCTCACAGCTGCTCTTCTGCAGGGCAGCTTGACCTTCTGGAGAACTTGTCCAAATAGCAAGCGTGCCAGGAGATAACCCTGGTTTTCTTTGGTTCTCCAGAGTGCCCTGGGCCATGAGTATGTTGCCGAGGTCGGCATGCACTCTTCCCAGACAGACGCAGCCAAGGGCTTTGGTGGAAAGTACGGCATTCAGAAGGACCGAGCAGATAAGGTTGGAGCTGTTTTATTACCGGTCTGCCTACCATTTGGGTTATAATACTTATTGTAGCATGAAAGGGAAGCAGAGAAGTTGGGTGGTTTTGTCTTCTTCCCATTCAACATTTATTTATTTATTCATCAAATTTATAACCTGCTCACTTCACTAAGGGACTCTGGATGGCTCACCATTTTAAACAACAACAACATTGAGGGAAGGCAACCATTTGGTTGATTATTTTGAGCCGTCCAGTTATTGTTGATTCCTAGTGACCCGGACAACTGGCCGTAGTTACTCCGTCTCTCACTTTCTCTTCCCTGCAGTCCGCGCTTGGGTTTGACTACAAAGGAGAGGTAGATGTACACACCTCTCAAAAAGGTAAGTTTTGAAGCAGCCCCCTCCCGGATTTCTGGGCATTTCTCCCTATACTTTCTCCAATTCCCTCAGCCCTTCCCCAGTAAGAGGGGCCCCAAGAATGCCAGTCCACTTTCATTGATGGACCCATCTCTTCCCAAATGATGCACCCCAAATTCGTATTCTAGTCTCCTGGGACCCTGGGGGTGACATGAATGGGTTTGGAATGCCAACTTTTCAGGCTACCCTGAAGGTGCTTTTTCAAAAGGTAGCTGGACTTCCTTGTTTTTCCTTGAAGAGGTTTTGCTTCTCATCCAGGAAGCTTCTTCCTTTCTGACTCAGTGGTGGGGAATGGAAGGATTAATACTCCTTGCAGTCATCTGGTCATTAGTAGTCTCTCTGAGAATACTCCTTCCATTGCCCACACACACACCACCACCATTCAGTCAGAACTGAAGAAGCTTCTTGGAAGAGAACATCTTCAAAGAAAAGTCCAGTTGCCAGCACCTTTGAGACAATCCATGCCCTGGATGATGGAGGATCTCCGTAGGCTTTCCTCACCATCCATGTCATCAACCTTCTGAAGAAAGTTGTGTTCTCCCACTTCAGACTATGCCGTTGGGTTTGGCGGGAAGTACGGTGTCCAGAAGGATCGTCAAGACAAGTCCGCCCTGGGTTGGTCCCACAAAGAAGAAGTCAAGCCCCATGAATCTCAAACAGGTCTGGTAGCTGCAAGTCAACTTTGGTTCATCTCAATTAATCTCTCATGGCTTT